CGACGGGGACGGCTTTGGGGGGGTGCCCAGGCTTTCCGAGCCGTAGAAGTGGCGTTCGGCCCTGCGGAGGAGGCCTGCGAAGCACTCGCATCGATTTCAGCCCCCTCCGCGGGGCTGAATTAACACGGTAAAGGCGGCGGCGTCCATGATCCCTTCCACTACGGGGAGAGGACATCAAAAGTTTAATTACAGCACCTCTTGCTCTTCAAAACCTAGAATTTTTAAGCAGTAGCACAAGTGACAATGGGCATGTAAGCTAATTCTGAATATTTCCATGAATCAAAACGTAGCCCTTGCAGACAGAGAACAGCAGCGAGTCCCCAGGGACCGGAGGAAGACATTATCACCGTCTTACGGCAGAACAAAGGATCGCAGCGGTAGCTCTTTTCAGAACTATGGGGTCTGCTTCCAAAATGGGAGACAAACCACAGCGGGTTTTCTTCAGAAAAGACCTCATCATTTTGTAGCCATAAACACATACATGCAGGGGTCAGCTGAAAACACTTTCAAGATTAGAAATCTCAGTACTTGCTAACTGCTGAAAAAATGGCTAAAAACTCTACTGGAAGAGACGAAGGGGATCGGTGCTTTTACAGCTGAGAACCAGGAACACAGTGGAACTCTTCAATCCCTTATCAATGTATAATATTATTATAGTATAAGCTGGGAAGAACACAAAAAAGTAGAAGAATGATGATGAATTGGACCACAAGCACTAAAAAAACCTGCAATTTCTTTTTTTTTCCCTGTTGGCAACCACTGTATTTAATGCTCAAGCCTTTGCATATAATTTAGGCAAAATAGTGATAAAATCCAATGCTCTAGTTGACATCAGACTCACTTCTATAAATTAATCTGCCTGTGATCCACAGGTCCAGAGCAATGAAAATAACTTTCAGCAATGCACCGATAACCCCAGAATCCTTACCTATAGCCGGGCTCCTATTCTTGGAGCTGCGCCAGGGTTAGGAATGATAGGACATTTTGGGTAAAACCTTTCAAGCACAGCTGTGTGTAAGAACAAAACAGCCGTACTTACGCATTGCCTGGTAACCTGCAGGGAAAATCATTATCGTAAACAGAACCTTCCCTCACTTGAGGAGCACGGAAGACAAGGAGCTTCCACGAGGAAGTGTGGAGTAGCCTCTTCCCCTGACGTCTTTAGCATATATATACACACACCCCAAGAGGAATCCCAAACCTACGGAATATTACTGATACAGAAAAACAAAAAGATCAATTCTTACTTCAATGTGGCTTGCTATTCTACCCCAGTTCTGTATTAATTCACCAGTTCATTGCCTATCTAAATATCCTCAATGTTCAAAACCCGTGTACTTTCTCTCCATTTACCCTTCCCGATATTTACTTCTATACCACTTGAACATTTCCTGCAAGGCATTGTAAACATGCATCCATTTATAGGACCCTACACATTTAGTCGCTCGGACAAAACTCACCGTACGATACAAAGGCAGTAAATGCATTTTAAACACGCTGAAATCAAGACAGCTGTAAGGCAGTGAGATCGGAAAAGGAACTCTGACTGGTGACGGTAGTGCAAAGAAGTTGCTGGTGTAAAAATACACCTATTTATGCGATATGTCTACATATGGCTTTTTGTGTATGATGATACGTGTTCAAATGTGTTTATTTTACACGACAGGCTTCTGTTTATGTGACAAATGCTTCTATTTATGTGAAATCTTTTCTACGCTATTTCCCAATTCCATACGGTTTGTTATTTCCTTAGTGCTAAATCGCCTTCCGCTTTGGCAAGCCTCTAACAAGAAATGATGCAGAAGGACCCTGTAAGGGGCTGGGGCTGATAGTGGGGAGAGAAAAGAATTCAAAACCTGCCGCCATCAGAAGAGAGTATGACTGCAGCAGCCACTCTGGTTCTTGAAATGGTAGGCAAAAAGAACACGCCAGGAAAGCCAAGCCTAAAACTTCAGACACAAACCATTTCCCCGCTCACGAGGGCCTCAGGGAGGGGCGATGCGCTCGCAGCTGCGCGCTGTACCTGCCAAGCACAGAGCACACCTGCAATGCCGTGCTCGGGTTTTGCACACTTGGCCCAGTACGCCTTGCTGGCGCGCTGGTAAGCCTGTACGACACATGTGAAAGACAATACACGATCTCTGCTAATTACGACATCATGTGTTTAGTCATCATAGGAAAATGACTGGGTAAAAGTGCCGCCTTTGTTTCTCACTACATCTCTGTGTTCATTTGGCACCATTTACATCATCTACTACTACACGCTCCTCTTCCCAGCGCAGAGACAACACGGCGAAGAGCATCAGCTCTTCTATTTGGATCCTATTTTGGCTCATCCACAATCAACCCATTTTCTATTCTAGAACTATTTATTTCCAGTGATGATTCACGAGCCAGAAAGAATACCACTTGCCTGTCAGATGCCAAGGAGAACTTACAGGAATGGCAATTAGAACGTTTTTTATTGTGGTGAGTGCAGTTGATATGGAGCCTAGAGAAATAACTGAAACGCAGCCTTTCGCTGCTATTTTTACAGTTGTTTTATAACCACACTTCAAGGTTTTTCATCTAGCTGACGAAAACAGAAGGCAGATGAAAGCAGAAAAAAACCAAACCCAACAACCCACCTGGCCAAGTTTATGCCTGGATGGTAGACATTCCTTACTTTTTGTGGATTTGCTTTTTCTACTTTATCTCGCATTATGCTAAATGATACACTAAATATTCTAGTGCTTAAAAGGAAAGAAACATGGGAAGAGTTACTGGTGATCTTTATGCAAGGCATTAGATATATCTACAATCATCTGACAAAAAGTCACATATTTTGCACGTGTGCACTATGAATAGTCCTTTCCATTTCAGTGCAGTCAACAGTATGAGAAATTAATCACGCACAAGCCTGAGGGTTTGTACTGCACAAGTCATTTTACATACAGCATTTATTTGTACACCACCTAAGGCGAAGAGAAGGACTTAAGACCCTAGAATCAATACAAATAAAAAAGGTCAAAGCTACTGAGATTTGGGCATTTATTCAAGTTCCATCAGCTTTACCAGCAGCTTTTCCTATGCTTATTGAACTTACATTTTTGGTCTGCAAAGCTTACAAGCTTTTCTAGCTTCTACAACACAATATGATGCCTTTACATGAGGAATTCTTAACTGAGATATTCTTAATCAATTCATTTCATAAAATGAGCTTTAAAAAATACCAGTACAAATCTTTCAACTTAGCTTCAAGGAAACGCCAACTTTTAAATAATTTTAAAACTACTGACCTCAGTTTGTGCCTATTTGGCTTTTTTCTGATAATAAATCAATTTGTAGCTTCGAACTTCAGCATCATTTTCTGACCAGACATATGTTGGAGATGGAGGGATACTTTTTCCTTGGAAACACATACCTCAGAAGGGATTACTTCAGTTTCTTCCCCACCCTTTCTAGGAAAAAAAAAAAAATCACCTTTGAACTGAAATACAAACCAGAAAATGTCAAGTGATTTTGTTTCAGAAAAATATGTGTAGCTGCAAAAGGCATACGTGGGTTTCTAAAATGGAATTAAGCATCCAAACCTACTTAGATACAGTATTATTTTAGTCTGCTGTCTTTAGTGAGACGATCGACTCACATATTTAAGTGGCACTATGCTTTTTCCTTGTTCACAGGAAAAACAGTGAGAGAAAAACAGTCCTGTTAAAAAATACAGTAAAGGCTATCTGAATGTATCCTGTTGCAATTGCCTGAAGATTCATTATGCAGGTCTGGAAAGGCACATCCTAACAGATCAGGTAAACATGACCGGGTTACATGCACTTTTTCCCTTGTAGCATGAAATATCTCAGGCAGTTACCCGGCACCCTCCTTTCACGTGTTCATGTCATTGCTTTGCGGGCGAACGCCCAGTTCCATCCCAGCCACGGAGTCCTGCGGCAGCCCCGTACGGGCCAGAAGGCATGTCACGGTGTTCCAGAGCAGAGCCGGGACACGGCCCGGGTCTGACACAGCAGGAGCTTTTTCTATGAACTGAAATCACTTCTCTGGGTACCAAATGACCAAAACCAACAAGGCTTCTGTTCATTTAGCATCTGCAACTACTCCTGTTCAGCTACGGTGTCATAAAACTAACCTGAATTTGAAAGGCACGGTATTACAAAATGGCAAAAATGGCTAAAGAGTCAGAAAAAACTGTGATCTTGAACCTTATAAACTCACACCTTACTTCTCACGGGTAAGAAACCCTTCGTTTCATTCGCAAGAGCAGTGAACGCAGAGGCAGCTCCCGAGAGGCCAAACCCCCGCCGCCGGCGGGCGGGAATCGCCTCAGGAGCGGCTCCCCCGGGAGCCCCGCGGCCAAGACCCATCTCTAGGAGTTCCCACTCACGCTTTAAGGACAACATTTCTCCTAAGCGTCTACAAACTATGGCACGGCTCTCCTGCGAAACACACCTTTAAGTGTCTTTGTT